AACTTTTTCCTTAGCAAAAATGTTATTCTAGGCTTTGTTAACGTGATGTTGGATAACTCCGCCGTTTTGTAATTATAAATAATAACTAACGTACGGAAATGAAGTTAAAATACTACCTGACGTCCTTTAAGAAAATTCCAATATTCTACTTAATAATTACGTTAAAAAGAATTTCATTTTACCTATTTTTTATTACATCTACAAGGGGGTGTGCCCTCTTAAGATCAATGCGTGTAACTAAAAAAATTTGAAATAGTCAAGTTCTTGAATACAAAACGAACTACTGCAGGGAATCATAGAATAAAAAGGATAAAAATAGGAGAACAAAGCAGAAAAAATAAATTAAAAGGAAAAAAAGGGCAATTATTGTTACAATTATGTACTTCTTATTAGTTAGTAATATTATTATTATTGTTATTACTATTAGGTGCACCAGTAAGTAATCCATTATAGTTTCAGTGACAATGTAGTTCAAATGCAAAATACTTTTCCAATCATCTGCTTAATCAAAATGGTTGAGAATTATGAAAAGAAATAAATGTTCATTACTTCGACTTACAAGGAACTCCAGGTAGATGTGCCCCTCCGATCCTTTTCATTTTCACATATTTTGTAATATTCAAAACACTAAGCGACACATGTTTTTTCTATATCTGCAGATATTCGGTTTAAATGGGTGAATCCCCTGCTGAAAGACTTACGTGTAACAGGAATAATCGGAATTTTTTATAGAAATATTGAATTCTTTTGAATTTTAGTGGGTGTAGAATATTTAAAGAAAATACAAAACTATAGAAACTATACAAGGTTGATTCACAATTATTGATACACTCCGCAGTGTTGGTTATTTTCGCTGTCTCCCAAAATCCATAAATTGGTAAATTGAAATCACTTGGCATAATTAGTTACCACTATAACTTCCCTTTCGGACTAGAACTAATTCATGTATATTACTTGCTTCTTTCTGTGTTGCAAATGCCTGTAAAATAGACAAACAAAATAGACTGATACGTGACATTTATGAATCATCCTGGTAAATCCGAAAAGAACTACCAACACGAACAATAACGTCGGCTACATGTGACTAGAATCGAATATAACATCGACATACGGTCTCAATGGATTAAATACCGCCAAAAATATATTTTTTTTAATATGGTATATCGTGTAATACAGGCGTTGGAAGCGTGTCATGCACGCTTTTTCACCGTGTCAAGCGTCATTAACAGATTTCCACTCGCTCTTGCGATCGCCCCGCCCAAAACGCGGTCGTCCCATTTTCACGCGGGTCGAGGATGCGTTAACCGATTCTCGGTCGTACATCATCCACGTGATGTCTGGCCGGCCACTGTAAAATATAACAATCCCGGGACGTGTATTAAATGGGTGGCTCCTTCGCTCTGTATACGATTCGCGGAACGTCGGAACTACAAGACAGTTTCACGTGAACGAACGAAAATACGACACACTTCGGTATCGTGAATAGAAACCGTAAAAGTAGAGCCATTTGTGGCTTCTGTAGCTGGAGATGAATCGATACAAGTAAATACGAGTACATTACTCGATACTTTTATTTCGATACCGAGTACATTAGTCGATACTTTTGTTTCGATACGAAGTACATTACTCGATACTTTTGTTTCGATACCGAGTACTTTTGGTATCGATACGTACGGTTGCGATACCAAGTAGGTATCGAAAAAAAGTAGTCGTATCGAATGGAATGAGTATCGACCCATCAACATTTGATATTGTAATTACATTCAACCGAAAAGAATGTTGTTTATATTAATAATTAAGAAATGTGTATTTAAATATATTCAATATTATAATAATAGGTATATATGGTTAAGTGTGAGCTTCCGAAAATGGTATTTTCAAATATAGAATAAGCTTTCCTGCATGGTTTCCTGCAGTTCTCCATCTACCATCTATGTTATGTTTGACATAACCTTGATCAATGCATGCTACCTCCCCAATCAAATATTTTACTACGTAAATTTAGCAAATTTAATTCACTTGCGAAGTCAACGACTGCATTTTCCGTATCAGTTTTGTATTAAATATTTTACTTAATTTTATCATTTATACACGAATTATTCATGTTACTGATGAATCTTTATTTATTCCTTCTTTTTTACAAAAATAAGGGGCTTTCCCATTCTTCTAAGTACAACATCATTGTCTTGTTATACATTCACACAGTTCGATGTCAAGTATATTCAAAACATAAATTCTTGTTCACACATTATCAACGTATGATACTTTTCCATACCGAAAGAATGATACCTTCGTCGTATTTAATTTCCCGCGGGCGTGTAGAAGAGTTCCACGCAGAACCTGTAGTTTTTTTTTGTAGAAATGCGCAGCAACGCGGGGATAAAATTATAGTAAACGCAATGGTCATTCGCGGGTAACGTGTTTCGGTCGTTCACCTAATTTTTCGTTCACCGACTAATCACGATTTGGCGGAGACGGCTGTTTCCGTTCGGCGAGTTTTCAATTTTTCAGGGTTTTACGTTTAATTTCCTGCCAGGAGATAGCCGTTTGTCCTGGACAGGTATACGTCGCCGCCGCCGCGAGCGTGTGTTAAAGAGAGGTCGTGTCCCCTGACTGTCATTTGCATTCGGTCGAGCATGACAGAAAGAGCACGCAAAGTTTCAATCTCCAGTGTTGTTCTGTAAGCACCGTGAAAAAAAAATCTGCTCTGCCAAAAAAACCGAATTTTCGATTTCGATTATCGACTTGTTCCGGACAAGCTTCCCCGCGCATACGCGATAAATATGAACACGGAACGAACGTATCAAGGGAATAATGCACATTGACGATGATTTCGTTCCAACTCGTCGTTCGTGTGTGTATGCGCGTGAAATAAAGTTAAATTCGCTAAGTGATCGAAGCATTATGGTATGAAGCCGTTCTGTTAATAATTACTGAAAATTACGATATGTCACATGTTACTAACAAGGGAATTTACCCAGATGTTAAATTAGTTTTGAAACAATAATGGTTGGAAATCGTAGCAGTCGGCCTCCTAAGGACTGAAATAGGTGTCACTCGCCCGAAAATTTCACTATCATCCAGAAACGTGGCGTCGATATTCGTCATAAGCAGCTCTGAAAATTGATACAAATAACTTTTTTCTTGAGAAATTTGTGATTCCTTACGTTTCTTTAGATACATACAGGGTGTCCAAAAATAGGTGTAAATCCCTGGAAGGGGTGATTCCTAGGGTGATTATAAACAAGATTTTCCTTAGCGAAAAACTGTTTGTTAACGAGATATTAATGAAAAATCCCGACCAATAAGAGCAGGAGAAATCTTAAACGATCAAAGAAATTGTGTAAAGAAGTTTATTCATATTCATTTTCAAACTGACACTTGTTTCAATTTTAAGGAATCGATATCTATGACTTTTTCAAAATTAATGTAACATCCAAGTAACTGTGAACTTATATGACCACATAGTAGAATACCATTTATTTGGCTATGTATCTTCCTAAATTACTTGTTTAAACGATACGTTACCTACACTACTTGCCTTGTCGTAACGTCTGCTACTACTCGTACTAGCCTTTTCATAGTATTTCCTCTCACTGGTCAATCGTTGACCTAACATATGAGCCATTTTTTTTTAAGTGCTATTTGTCTAATTCTGAAAAAATTAGTTAAAATTAGTTTCAGCTGCAAATGGAGGCTTTTCTTGCATTTAAACTAACAAAATCAATACAGTACGATATGCTCAGGAATTAGTCACAAAAAATTTGGCTGCTAAATGAAATTGGATAAATATTTTTTTTTAAAGTAGTATAAGTCTATTAACGGTTAGCAAAAACACTGTTTCACTTAGAGAATATTTATAAAATGACTACATGATAAAATTAACCATGTCTGAAATTTTAAAAGCTTAATACAACCTTCTTAGCGTATAACAATATTTTTAAATTGGGTGAAATGCAAAACATTAAACATCTCGAGATAAAGACATATGAGCTTATACCACTTTAAAAAAATGTATATTCAAGTGAACTACATCAGTACGTTAAACACTTGAACAGCGTGCCTCTCAAGAAGAATAACCAACCACGACAGACGTGTTTTACGAGTATTTCGACCGTATTTTCAACAGTTAATATTTCGGAAACGAAACTTCCAACGCAGTTTCGTTATTCTTGATTTTCGTGTTAGTTTAGCGTGGAGAATCCACCCTGTGAAAGTACCCCACAAATAAATTCACATGAATTAATTAATATTCAATTTTAGAATCAATTGCACCCTCCACATCCTCCGAACCAAATAATATTTTCCTCTATTTTTCTTCCATTTCAAAAGCAAGTCAGATAATAACGATGCTTATGTTACATAAGACACCCTTACATCGGCATAGCCAAGTTATCAGTCAGGGGTAAAAAGTGAAAAAGGCTATACGTAGCCAGACACACTTTATTTTGTTTTTAAAGTCATAAATCGTTGAAAATGTATGCATTTTGTTAATGGAGGCAGTTGGTCGTGTTTCATATTATACTGCAATATTAAGTATTACATAAAAATTTTGTAACTCTGGGAAGGAAGGCGGGATGGGAACAATCCAATTTTTTTTCTTGTAGGGTGGGGCAAAAGCAACTTCTTTCACTGCAGAAATAGTCAAATTCGTCCATCTTTGAAACGAAGCAGCACACGAAAAAATTCTGTTCTAGGTTTTCCATTTATTTTTCCGCGTAGAATAACCTCCTTTCGTATTTACCACTCTTCCTGGCCAAATCTGTACACCCGCAAACGACCGCGTCATATCTACCAACTGAATACAGTTTATGGTCAATGTGCTTCTCGCAGCAGCACGTGAAAAGCTTGTTCTACTTTATATATCTAGTAACCATATAATCAAAGGAAAACCGCGAAAATGTAGAATTTTCATTTGCAGTGCTAACACCGGAAATGGAAATGCGCGGGTGACATTACGGCCGACGACTAACGGTTTTTTTTTCTTCTTTTATTTCCAGGCAATTACTCGGGAATGGGACACTCTACTTTCCACCCTTTCTCGCGCAGGATTTTCGCGCTGAGGTCCACAACGCGAGATACAGATGCAGGGCGACCAGTTCTGTGGGAACGGTCCTCTCTCGGGAGGTCACACTTCGAGCCGGTAAGCCAACAACAATATACAGTGAAAGTCAAAAGTGAGTGTATACTTTGAAAGTATGGGATTCATTCACTTTAAAATCTAACATTTCCCATAGATACTCTATTACATTGAGATCTGGTGACTGTGGAAGTAGGAACTGACCGATTAAAAGTGTTTTCCAGCAAACAATTTTTCACAACCTTTGTTATGTACATATTTTGGGTCATGAACTCTCACTAAAAGACCCATTCTTGCAGCTGAATTTGATTTCGAAATATTTAAATATCCCAATCTGTCCATAGTACTATGAATAGAAACCAACTGTCCTACATCAGAGGTTGCCATGCTGCCCGCAAACCATAATAATACATTCACCATGTGTAACCAAATTTTGTGGTTATAGTTCCGAATTTCTTTTTCTCGGACATGTTGGCTGCCTATTTATCCCGAAAACGTTAAAAAAAATCATATACAAGTGTATTAGTACCAATGTCAATAGCAATGATGGGCAACAGTTTTTTGTTGAAAAATCGTAAAAAAATATACAATTTACAACGATATTTGTATAAATTTAATATCAATGCTCTTAAATACTACTTAATATACAGGCATCGTTTTCGCGTGGTTTACACACGATCAGGTTGCTTCTATCTTTTTTGAATAAAAATAAACATAAATGATTTATAAAAAAGAAACATAATTATTATTAATCTATACTAGTGATACTCTAGTTTAGATTAAAATGTGCGTGAAGTGTCAAGACATCCCAATACACAAATATGTCGTGATGTTTCCTGCCGCGCATCGCTTCCACAGGAGCCCGTGGCTGCCCGCCATTTGCCCGTACGGGCAGCATGCCAGAGCGGGCCCGGTTGCCCATCGCTGATCTATAGCAAGATGCTACAGAAGTATTAGTGGACTCTAACTATATTGCCATGGTCCGGGCTGTAGGGGAGTAAAATGGCAATGAGTTCGGAGCTCCCTCTATGCTAAGTACTATTGTCGTAGCCTCAACCTCAGCGCCTGCGCAAAAGCTGAATCACGCTGGTGCGCCGGCGTATGCAACGTGGTGGGAGAGCGAATTTGTGTGCTCGAAAGTACGTGTGAAGGGGAAGTGCCTAGCGTGGCAATATAGTTAGAGTCTACTGTACCACGAACCTCGTTTTGTAAGGTGTACACTTAGTTTTGACTCTCACTGTATGCAGAAACATTTTTCATCGGTGTTTCCAGAGAAAGATCAACATAATCGTACACGAGTTTGAAAAAATACGACGAAACGAAAAATAATTAAAGAAACCCTCACGGAGACGAGTTGTCACGAAGTTCTTGAATGAACGGACAACTCGCCCCATTGATAATATAAAAACAGTGCAAAATGTGACGGAGGAAGAACGTTCCAGTCGCCCGCTCGCCGTGCATACGGACGCAAGTCTCATTATCGCATCCCAGCGCGGTGCTCATTAATTACTATGCTTTTTTCCAACCTCTTCCTCGACAGTCAGAGGGAAATACGCGACACGCTATTGCAGCGATACGTGGTATTACGAAACTAATTACGTTTTTGGTTCCGAATGAAGGAGGTCTGTCTTATTGTGGTCCCTAATAGAGATTTCCTATTTCCCTTCTTTTTCTCGGATAATTTGTACCTACTCTATCGTTCAAAAGTTTTATCTTTAATTATCAACCAGACGTAAGACAATATAGTGGCTTATTTGTAATAGGCAACCATGTACGACTATAAAACGATAACATTGCTGAAAAATTAATACATTAGAGTACATTATATTATAATCTACTAAAAATTATGAATATTTTCAGTGATTCCAAACGACTGAGCAGAAGTGCACATCAAGATAGTGAAATGAAATGTTGAAAAAAAATGTCTCACATTCACAGTGGGTACTTTTCGAACGGACACTTCGATTTTCCACTCGACTGGATTTTTAACTCAATAACAGCTGCTCGCTTTTGTCAATTTCGCGATCGTCACCTTTTTCACGAATTTTTCGCACCAAGATAATGATCACGACCAGTCTGGCTGACCGTTAGGTAACATAAAACCGTATCCGAAGCTTTCGTCTCATATTCCCCGCTCGTTCTCCGAACTGTTATCCGAGAAGCGTGATCGGTAAACACAGCACCTACTTAACAGACCGCATTGTCGCTTAACAAGCCGGTTGCGACTGTTCTCCGCGCGATTTTCAACGTGCGGATCAATGTTTGAGCTACGCGCGGCGACCGATGCTGTTAACTCTAACCCTTTCGCTACGGCAGACTTTGAGATATACCGCGCTTGTCGTACGGTCGAAGTTTTGTCGCGATGTACGCTGTGAACGACGAAAATTTTCGTCAGTGTGCATTTTTCAGAATTTATATGGTAAACGTCAAAACATTGAATTACTTTATCAATTGTATTACTTTTATCTTACTAGATTAAATTCATCTATCATTTATTTATTGGTGAACGCCTATTTAGATTTTAGAGCGCCTATAAGCGCCAACCGTTTGTAGTGTGCAATATGAAATGTGCGCCTATAGGCGCCAATCGGTTATAGCGAGCAATATGAAGTGAGCGCCTATAGGCGCCAACAGTATTTAAAGGGTTAAGTACTTCCACCCAAGGGAAAAAGCAAACCGTGGATATTATATTAGCTACTTCTGAATCCTGAATAAATTCACCAGTTTTGTTGATTGGAAGTGGAAGCTTCTTACCATAATGAACTGAATATTTAACAGTTTCGAAACAAATTTATCTTGACTGTTCCGTACACAATTCGAGCGTGAATGTTTGAAAATCGGTCGATTCTACTAACTTATTCTTTACTGGTACAAAGTACAACAAAAGTATTCGTACACCCTTTAAAACGGAACAACCTTTTTCAAATTGGTCCGAGTGACTTGAGTTTTTTTGTGAAGTTAGGAACATTAGTTTACTAAATGATGTGTGAAAAAAATTTGAAAAAGCTGCAATTGGTCCGAATCGCGAAGAAAATAGTAAAGGTTACTTTTTACAACTTTTTTCTTTGAGACTGTCATGAAAATTTAATAAATACATATCGAAGATTTATGTCAGTTGTATACATATTGAAAATTTCATCAAAATCGGTTAACGTTGTTATGAGGTACAAACGATTGAAAATCGGACCAATTTGAAAAAAGTTCTTCCGTTTTAAAGGGTGGACGAATACTTTTGTTCCCCACTGTATACAATACATTTGAAGTACCTATAAAGTTAAAAATAATATTTAAATAAATAATATTTTACAACAAATTTAACAAATTCGATGAACGTGTGTTGATGGCTTTTCCCATGTAACAACGATCTTGTGGTACTTTCTTTTGGGAGATTCCAAACTTCAATTGATTTACCCGCAGAATTTCTGAATAATTATTTTGTAGATGGATCACAACCTAAAAACCATGAAGATCAAGTGTTCGATCGCTGCCATTTTGTCATATTTTCACTTATTTTCGACAACTATCCCATCATATTTCGGGTAAATATTAATAATATTTTCTGTCCTCCTGAAGCTACTCTATTAACATCCTGTAAGAATGTTCCGTTCTCAAGATTATCCAAAAATGGTCCATATTCTCCTTTCCAACCCTCGAACGATGATCCACGGGAATTCCGTCGAAACCGCAAATGTTTTTTCACCATTTCCCATCACGTCTCCGTCGCAATCGCCAGTTTCTCGGCGGTGTGTAATCGATCTAGAAAAGAAAAAAACTCGAAAATGTATTTATCCATCGATACGCCGACCGAGTCTTCGGCTAGGATGGTTACGTGCGTACAATAAACGTCAATTACAGACGGAACGTCGGTTCGCGGACGTGACTGGTTGCGACGTCGACTAAAAGTTCCCGAAGATCCCATTATGCCGGAAGCGTCGTAACGGACTGCGTTTCCACCCAGACGTCCCCAGGTAAATACCGAATGGAAAACGCCGCTGAAAGCCGTTAAATTGTATCGGAGGAAGTTCGATTCGAGTTGGATGGGTAGCATGGAGGGGGGGGGGGACGAGTCCTCTCTGAGGCGCAAGCGTTACTGCAACGGGACAAAACTTTGTCCAGTGGGGAAATGGGGGGGGGGGGAGGGGAGCCACCATTTAAATGGCCGATTTTAAGCGAGCCGACGCAACCGGCGCATACAAAGCTACCCCGTGGATAGCACCTGTACACAGAGGAACCGAAATTAGAAAGGAATTTGGATTCCTTCTATTTAAGTTCACCCCTCCGCTGCTCTCGCTAGGACCGTGGTCCCTCGAACGCCAATGGATACGGCCTGTCGAACCTTTAACGCTGTTTACTCCCGCCTGTCGATTTTTTAACGCGCCCAGACTCTTTACACACGATGCTTAATCCAAAATGTAATTACTAGACTACGGATTTTATGCATTTATAGCCTATGGGATTTTGTGAAATACAATCAAAGGAAATAGTATCGTCAGATGCTACGTGGTTTCTATTTTCTTCTTAATCCAATAAGATAGTTAAGAGAGTAAAGAAATTCTTACTTTTGCTCTTGTCTTTATGAATCACTTTATAAAATGTTATTTTGCACAAAAATCCGCAGTCTAGTAATTACCTTCGTCGTTCGCTGTTCTGTCTTGTGAATAATTTTTTTACTCGCCTTTCCCTTCGGCATCTTGAAAATCTTATTGGTATAAAAAACTTGTGAAACAAAAGAAATAAAATAAAAAGGCGATTTTTTTAGCGAACCATAATTAAACACTGTGTTATTAATATAAAACACACAAAAATACTTACTGTAATATAACGAAAATAATTTTTCAAGTCATAGAGTAACTCTCTGCTCGATGCTGCTCGAGTGACTCGACAAGCGTCCAACGACTACGCATCAGCATTCTCATGTATCAGTAAATAAACTCGGTAATTTCGACATTAAAAGAAAAAGGTTTTATAAAAACAAAGTTGGTATCGATTCTGGAGACTTCGATAAGTTCAAGAAACCTTTACTTAATAGAAACACATGAATTATTTAATATTCACGAGCTTAA